ATTTGCTGAAGGAAGAATCCCAGCACTCCCTGAACCAGATTAAAACCCCAAGTTCATGACTCAATGACACATGCTTACCTTGAAGTTCATTTCCTGCTAATTCATTAAAACGAAATGCCCTTATGTTTCTAGGGCCCTAATTAACTAAGGTAGAAGAGGCTCCTTATGTTGGCGGCAACAGAACAGAGTAGTTTAAGAAACACAAACACTGAGCTGGGGAGATGGTTCAGTAGGTGTGGTGGTTTGAATGAGGTGCCCCCCATAGGCTCAAGTATCGGACACTTGGTCAGTTGGTGGTGCTGTTTTACGAATGTCACGAAATCCCTAGGACATGTGTCCTTGCTGGAGGAAGCACATCACAGGGTGGGCTGTGAGAGTTCATGAGCCTTGTTGCCACTTTCTGTTTCTTTCTCTGCTTCCTGTGCCTGCTTGAAGATGTGAGTGTCTCTGCTCTGGCTGCCTCCTGCCGTGCCTCTCCGCCATTATCTCTCTGGAACCATAAGCCCAATAAACTCTTCCTTCTTAAGTTGCTTTGGTTTCTTATCACAGCAATAGAAAAGAAACAGGAACAGTGTGTAAAGTGTTTGCTGTGTTAGTATGAGGACTGGCATTCAGATCCCCAGTACCCAAGGAAATGCTGGGTAGGGTTGGCAGCCTGCCTGGAATCCTGGCATTCAGGAGGCAGAGAGACAGGTGATCCCTGGAGCAAGCTGGCTAGCTTGGCTTAGCCAGATTAGTGATCTCCAGGTTGAATGCATCAACATAGGTGGAGAGTGATTGAGGAAGACATCTCACGTCCAACCTCTGGCTTTCACATGCATGGGCACACATCAGCACCCATGTGAACTGCATACATGCATACATAAATAGACATGAAAAAATAAATAAAGATGCACAAGCGCTGGAGTTAGATACCTTAGGTTTAGATCCCAGGTCTGCCGCTTACAGGCAAATTATTGAAGCCCACCACCAGTAATATGGAGCTAGAGGTATAGAGCTGTGCAGAGGATTTAATGACATAGCCAGACAGAAGCACAGTTCCTGGCACACAGAAGGCACTCAATACTACATTATTGTCTTGAGCATTGATGGCAGCCACTTTCATTTTTGATCAGACATTTATGTCCCTATCACTGTCCAAAGCTTTGGCTAGATTGACTTTTTAGTTTAAATGTTCACATAAGTTCTCTTTCTTGCTTCTAACTTATGAAACCAACACTTATTGAGGCCTATTGCATTTCAGATTCTTTCCAGCAGTGTTTGGGTTGGCCCTTAGTCTGTCAGAGGAATCTACGAGGTGGAGACTGAGGATGGAGTGGTAAGGAGTTGTATCAGGGCACATCTGAGCTGCCTGTCAGCTTCAACATTCTGGAGCAACAGAATGCATTGTCTAACCAAACCAGTGACCTAATTGTGAAGGACAGAGAGAGTGGAGCCATGGCTTGGAATTCTCAGGAGGCCCAGGTGGGTGGGGCCCCCTCCCAATAAACTTGACTGTGGATTGGAGCATGGAGTTTCTCCTCAGCTCTTGTAAGGGCTGATCAGGCCACACCTTTGGCAGTGCCCCAGATATTATCTGGAAGATGCTTATCAGAGAGCACTGGGCTCCTCAGCCTGACACTTCCACCATCCAAACATGGAGAGAGATTAGAGTTTGCAAGAGGCAGAACCCCAAGTGATGCGCCCATAAAATCTGCATTCTGCTCTTATGCTGACAGCAGATTGGTCTCAGGGAATGCCCTCCTTTGATGTTCCAAAAGGCTTCAAAGATTTTTTTTTTCCTGAGTGTCCTTCAGAGGAACTGAGGAAGAGCCTATGGGAATGTTGAAAGCTCAACGAAGCTATTCCTGTGCCTAATCTTGAAAACCACGTAATAAGAGAGGTGGTGGCAGGAGCCTGGGGTTGGAAGTCAGGATGCTTGGGTTCTGGTTTTGCCGCTACCTGGCTGTGCAGCCTTGGGCAAGTTGCTTCAACTGTCTGGGCCTCCATGACTCCTTTTAGTCTCTTCCACCCTGGAGCACCTATACTCTGAGGTCTGAAGACAGAAACCATTCACCTTGGTTGTGGAACAGGGTCAGATTCTCCTCCACTTATTTTTTCATGCCAATTCACTTCTCTGGTGTAGAGGCACGCCTCTGGTATAGAAGTTACTTCTCCTTCTCGTGATCCTCCTCCTGGAAGGTCTTTGAAATCGAACCAAGAAAGTGGGTGAGTGGCATGGATGCTTGGAAACTGTAATGGGCTTCAGCAATAATCACCTAACTATTTCAAGAATGCCATTTACCCAGTTATGTGCTCAGGCTGCTTGGCGTGCTTGGGAGTAAGCGTTTCATAAATCTGAGCACTGGAGTTAGGCCGTCTTTGTTGTATATCCCAGCCACACCAGTCATTCCAACTCATCATTTAGTAAGTACTTATCAAATGCCTATTTTTTTCTGTCAAGCACTTCACCAAGACATTTTGTGTATATTGCCACATTCTATCTTCAGAGCCCCATGAAGCAGGTATGAATTTGATCTGCATCTTACAAACCAGGAAACTGGAACTCAGGTCATGTGACTTACTTGAAGTCACATAGGTATATATGGTACCTGGGGACTGGAATACAGGTCTATTGACTCCAAAGTGATGACTCAGCTCTCATCCAGACCTTATTTTATTTTTTTATTTACAAATCTAAAAACAGTCACTACTGTCCCCATTTTATAACTAGACCTTGAGAGTCTGAGGGTTAAGTAGCTTCAGCTGGTCAAGGTCACTGATAGTGGAGCTAGGATACAACTAGCTAGGATAGGTCTGCTCAACTCTCAAGTTCCTATCACTGACTTCTCTGTCCCATACTTAGATCTCAGCCTTTTGGTAAAAGCTCCAGTGAGCTTGACAGTGCATATAGTAGACTATGCAGCATGTCCACTTTGGGAGGAAGAATGGAACAGGCAGACAGTGTACTGTGCAGTGGGGGGAAACTTGGAAGTATGGCTGATGTCTACAGCACAGCTCTGGCCCTGCCTTCCCCACTAAAGGATGTGCAGGACCTTAGGCATGTCCAGTTTCTCAATTCCACCAGTCTCACTTTCCTCATGAGAATATTTATTGTAAGAATCAACTTGAGAGCCGACTGGGAAAAGACTTTATTTTTTAAAAAAACATTTTATTTATTATTTTTATCTTACGTGTATGAGCATATTGCCTGCATGTGTGTAAGTGCACCCATGTTGTGCAATGCCAATGGAAGTCAGAAAAGGGCATTGGATCCCCTGGAACTGGAGTTACAGATGGTTGTTAGCTGCCATGTGGGTGCTGGCAACTGAACTTGTGTCTTCTGCAAGAGTAGCCAGTGCTCTTAAGTGCTGAGCCATCTCTCCAGCCCCAGTGACAAGGCTTTATAAGTGAGAAAGTGATACAAACAGAATGATTATTTCTGCCATTCTACACCTCTGCTTTTATCCTTCACAAAACTGGGCATTAACTTGCATGTTGCCTTCAAGCTTCTTGAGACAGTCTTGGGATCTGGCCTGCTGTCACATGATGGAGCAGAATGGGGTGGAGTTAATAGTTTTCACTTCTGCCAGACTCATTCAGAGATGTCACACCTGGCCATGAGGTGTTACAAGGGCTTCCACATGTTACATGTGGACCATCCCAGGAAGGCTGGAACATGACATTCCTCAACAGATTCAGGCATGAGACGAGAGAACAGATTTAAGGAGATGGCTCAGGACTTGGGAGAGGTAGGAGACTGCTCATTTTTTATGTTCTTGTTTGGAAAAGCTGTGGAGGTATAGCTCTGTGTCCATTTCTCTGATCTTATCACCCTTTTGGAAACAGTACTTCCATACACCTTTGGATTTCCTTACCCCAGGGTTTCATGCACTCAGAATACCGATTCTAGCAAGCTCAGTCAGGGCCTTACTTGCATATGTAACCACTCTATCCTCCAGGTAATGAGGGGAGAGCAACGTCAGGATGCCATCAACAGGTGAATGCGGCAGCTCTGTGGGATTTGTTTCAAGTTCTTCCCCTGGAGTGTTTCCCCCTTGTCACTAGTGGTGCTAAGGTGGCGTTGGGTAAGGATTTTATTTCTTCTCATGCTTTCTTTGGGACTCTTTAGAGTCTAAGAGGAAGACGGATGCAGTCTCACTGTTCCAGTGTGGAGTGAAAGCACCCCTTTGTCGGGGAGAGATCAGGAGAGTTCAGATTCACTGCATGCCCCTGCAGGAAAGAGGGACTGTAGCACTACTGAAAAAAATAAAAGTCAGGTGCCATGAAGTCTCTCAGGCAGATCACGTACCGGTCAAGAATTCCAACTTGCCGATAAGTAAGTTTTATGGCCGAGACATCTGGCTTACTGATAAGTAAGTTTCATGGCTGAGACATCTCCAACTCACTGATAAGTAAGTTTTATGGTTGAGACATCTGGCTTACTGATAAGTAAGTTTCATGGCTGAGACATCTCCAACTCACTGATAAGTAAGTTTTATGGTTGAGACATTTGGCTTACTGATAAGTAAGCTTCCCGCTCTCCCCGTAGCATTTTGTAATAGTTTAAATTAACCAATAACCGCGTTTCTGCTTCTGTATC